GGTTGTTGGCCAAACTTAATGCAAGTGCTGCCTTTCCCCAGGCAGGCACTACTGACAGTGATCGGTAGAGATGCTTTCAAGGAGACACCCGCCCTGCTATTTACTTTTGCATTTAAGAACAACAGTTGTCCTTATCGTACAAGCAGGTAAAGCATCACTTTCTTTTGTTTTTTCATCAGCGGGACCTCTGATGGCTCAAACAATGTCTTCAAGTAATCAATTGCAATCGATTCACGGATCAATATCTCCAATCGCTGATATAGTGCATGTGAAGGAATTTGAAAACCAGGGTGAGGCACTGAAACTGAGGCCAGATTTAATCAAAGGACACATTTTTAGTCCATTTGGTATTTATTCAGGGAAAAAAAACAACGTTGAATTGGTTTCATTATCTTAAAGAAAAAAAAAAGTCAAGGAGAAGAATGTCACATTGGCACGCGCACATCTTTTGATTTTTTTCTGTGTACAGCCTTTGGAGGAAAACGTTTGGGCACTAGTCTGGATATACACAGAGAGTGGTTGCAAAGAGTGAATAATGTCTGATCCTTTGAGAAAGTCTTTTTTTTTTTGTTCCTCCTTCCTTAAAGGAATTGCATGTGAGTGATGCTTTGCTTTGACAGTGTGTTTCAAACAACCCCGTCGGAGGTTCAGCAGACGTCGCCCTTCGTCACTGCCGGGCAAGCCAAAACTGACTGGACGAGGTCAGGGAAATGTCGTCGAGCCGTCTGCTCAAACAGAAACCTGAGTACATCAGGTGAATGTGACATATAATTTCAAGTTCTACTTTTATTCCTTGACACGTATTAAAATTCAGTGAGGGAAGAGCGAGGTGATGTTGAAATGATTTATCCTCCCGCCTCTCGCCAGAGCCCTCAATTGTCATGGTATCCCGCTGTTTGTTTACAATAATGGAGGGCAAGTGTTTCATACCAAAGCAGCTCTTGTCTTTGAATGATATCCACTAGAAACATTGATTCCGTTTCATTTTTAACGAAGGATAATGTGGACTAACTGCTTCTTCCAGATGACTAGCATGACAGCAGAACCTCATCAGTGGCTTCCTGTAGATGAGTGTTTGCATATCAACAAGCACTTGAAACCAAGTGTTCCGTATGTAATTTACTGCGAAAGGCCTTCGTGAAAGGCAGGTGTCAACGCATCTTAATCTTCCTGTTCCTCTTATCCTGTATGGAGGATACACTGTCAAGAATTTCTCAGTAAAATAGCAGTTGATTACTGGCATCAGGGACACGACTAATTTACTGCCATTATACAGTGCACCTACTGTACTTTCGTGTGCTTTATTTTGAATGACATTATATGATCAAAGGATAGCAGTGGGTGTGGGAAATTTTACACCATATCTACTGTGATTTATTTTCACAGTATACCACTGTATTTTGGATTGCAGTAGATCACAAAAGTAGAAAAAAGGCTTTGAAGATGGCAGATAGTGCGCCAGTATGTGTGGCGATGCTGTTGCTGCTTTGGTTTTATTTTTTTATTCACAGTGCTTGGTGCTATTCGAAGTCTTAACTGGTAAGCCTCGAACTTGGGTCTCAAACTGGACAGTGATTTTAAATTGGACATGGCATACATCCTGAGCCATGGCCACTCCATACTTTAGCGTTTCTTGTACGTATATTACTTACATTGTGGACCTTGTGCTTCGACCTGACGTCGATTACAGATGCATCCAGCAACATGCTGTAGCAGGTTTAAGTGTACCTGCGATGGCCTATTTCAAGGTATTGATAGCGGGGGACAAAAGAGTAATGTTGTAAAGATTGATAAATAACTGGTGTTCCCCTCTTTGGGTCGAGACTGTTTTGTATTCTACAAAACAGCTCAACCTCAATCTTAATGAAGAAGTGGAATGTATTTTCTGAAATACTCTTCTAAACTGTTATATTGCAGTTTGTTATTCATAACCAAGCATCAACAGTTAATTTAGTTGAGCAATGTTATCATTGACAGTGCTAATTACTTCCTGACTGACAGAGATGCTCTTCTCCCTATGACGTCTATGTGAATCACTAAATAACATTTTTAAGGTTTTTCTATTGTTGCTTTAACATATTTAGATTGGTCTGCAAAAATTGCCCCTATTTCCTCATCAAAGTAGCTGACAGAGGCAGATTGAAGCAACTGTTTGTTACCACAAAAATCAGATTTGGAGCAGGCCAATTAAAAGTAAAGTGTTTTCAAACTGGCTTCTTCTGCTCAGCATAGTGCACTCACAAACACAAAGTGTCACGCATGCAGAGCTCCATTTTGTGGCAATTTATTTGGGCTTCATTTGAGGTAATGCATTTTGTTTCTTTTTTAAGTTTCTTTCTGCACAGCTGGAGGCAAGTGATGTTTTTGCAGCAAAAGTCATGAACAGGATTAGTTTTGTTGTTGTTGTTGCTTTCTCTTTGTTGTTTAGTCCATTGGTTTGGTCGCTACAATTTTGTCCGGCACATGGTAAATATGCATTTATTTCATGTTTCCCAGATGACATGTAATTATCAAATTATATATATATATATATATATACATTTGTATAATTTATTTTTTGTTTGTTTTGGCTATTTTTAAGTGACCGTGTTACACTGTTAATGCTACGTTTCCATGATGTTCCCAGTGGCCAAGGTAATCACATTTCAGACCTCCATTTGACAAAACAGTATGCCAATCTTCCATGGCCACAAAGTTCCTCCGCGTTTCATCCGTGGAAAGACTTGACAGAATGTGAGGGACCACATCAGGACATGATGGGCTGAGAGGGAACGTACCAGCATCCATCAGGGCTCCAGACTGAGACCAATCTGGGCGCCCAGGCAACCTAATTTCTCAACGGTACACTTAAAAGAAAAAAAAAAAGAAGTTGCACTTGTGCCACCAGCCTTTCGAGGGGTGGGGTAGGAATTGCGTTTCAAATAAAGAACTTTATGTTGACCAGATTGTTAGTCACTCATTTACCAGTAAATATTAAAATATAGTGTCGTCAGTCAATATAAAAATGGAAGTGTTGAATTTGATGCATTGAAACATTGGCGCGTCTGCCATGGCGGTTCAAAACATAGTGTATGGATAGCATCAAGTAAGAGATTGCCCACATTGAAAGTCAAAGGCAGGATATTTTAAGGCACGCCATACAAACGTGTCCTGAGAATAGGGGTGAATTCAGGATGAGAATCATGTGACCTTGCAACGGTGTGGAAATTATGTCAGGCAATCGCAAGATCATCGCACTGACATATCGTCCAGTCAAATTGCTCTGTTGACACCTACTGCTCAGAGCTCCACCAGTCGTTTGTTTACTAGTCGGAAATGCATGATATGTCCTCATACAGTTTATTATAGTGGCATACAAGCGCTTTTGTAGCTCATTTCTCAATGATTGACATGCAACCAATCGATTCTTAGAGCTCGTCAGATGACATTCGAACGAATGTACCGGTACCTGTTTACTGGAAGGGACAATTGATCTTTGTGACAAATTTACATCTGTAATATTTAGAAATTAATGTGCAATACTGCGATAGCGAAAGTATGCGGCTGTGTATCACTGCATCTTACAAACGGGCGTTAATAAGCCTTTCTTTGGTAGAAGACTCCGTCATGTCTAACAATGCACTATGCAGGTGACAGAATGTAAATATTTCATTTCTGGAAGGCACTTTCTCAAGGAGCAAAAACACACCCTGCAGAGTTGCTGCACCAAGCACATGATTAATTTATGGGCCTGAAATTCACCAGTGCCTCCTCCTATCTGTGACTGGAAACCTTTGGTACATGTCTCTTCTGCCACCATATTACTTTGACTGTTGGTTTGTCTTATTGCCAAGCAAGGACTATTCAGTGCGGAAGGACGAATGATGTGGTCGTGTATATACGGATCCAGACAACCAGAATGATTGTTTTCACCCATTGGCTTTGGTGGTTTGTGTGTTAGTGAGCAGGATTACTGAAGATATACACAATGTATTTGCATGAAACACGCATTCGGTACAGTAGGTAGGACATGTGCATTGTGTGAATCTGTTATATTTTTGTCTACGTCTGAATACAAGTGAGGATAAGGGAATTAATTTTCTCTCATGTTTGCCGACAACTTTTGTGAACCTTCAACAACCCCGCCAAGAATGAAAATGGTTTGGTCTTATTCACACTCTCTCTTACTGGATCCGGAACATGATGTCAACCGTGACAATATTAGGCTGTGAACACTGTAAAAAAACACCAACTTGTTCGGGGAGCGGGGGGGTTAAAACAGTAATTTAAGGTGCAACAAATTTCACATTTATGGCAACGATGTTAGTTTGTACAACAAGCAAGTTGTTTGCTCCAAAACAGTTTGCTGAATTATTTTCACTTATAGCTTACATGCAAGGGGAATTAGTTCTGGAAAATCAGATTTCTTTGTTAAAAATCAGGGGAAAACAATTTTCACATGAACACAATTTTTAATATTTTGTTGAATTGCCGAATTGCCTTGAAATTTTGAATTCACTCAACTTTTCAACATTTCTTACAGTGTGTGTAACAGAGATGGTGTCATCGTCGTCATCATCATCACCTTACTTGTAATCCTGGTATTTTCCATTTGGTGGGCCTTCACTTTTGGTGTTAACAATGTTTTCCTCATTTCGTAAACCCCTTGCAGATGATGGCCATTTAGTGATATCCTACTTTGACAACGCCCCATAACTACTGTATAACTGGGAATTTCTTTTTTTTTTTTGCTAACAGATATACATATTTCAACTATTATTTGCCTTTAATTCTTTCTTTATTATGCTGAGTACAATATTTCCATCTTGGTGGAAAAGTGTGCTCTGCTCTTCTACTATGTGCATGTTACGTGCTGATTTTATTCATCCAAGTGTGTATCCGGAGACACGCAGTTTCCAAGCATTATAGCCAGTCCCATGTATCACACACACATCTCCACATGATGTTTCAGCTCTTGGTTTAATTGCAGTATGTGTCCCTGTTGGTCTGCACCATTCTAGCGATGCAGAGGACTGGTTCTGCAAGTGCCCCCCACTTTACGCTGGCCAGCTGTGCCAGTTTATGACCTGTGACCGCAACCCCTGCAGTCATGGGGCAACATGCATGCCAAAGTCGCCACTGGAGGCAGTTTGTCTTTGTCCTTATGGAAGACAAGGCCTACTTTGTGAGGAAGGTAAGTCGAATTAAATAACAAGATTCAGAAGACAGTCACTTTGTGAATGCACAGCCATTGCTTTTTCCTCCTGCAGCTTTAGTTGTTCTCTGATGATTATCATTTTAAATGTCCTCAATTCTTCTGGGGTTTTTTTGTCTTTGCTTTGAAATGTCTTAAATGATTTTGTCTGTAAAGGCCTTCACATGTTGTATTTTTAATTGTGAAGCAGATTTAGTGACCTTGTTTCTAAGTATGTGAAGCTGCCTGCATCGCCTACTTAATTTGACATTTGCACATCGACGGTGAGGCCTGCCATTGTTTACGTTGTGACATGCTTGTGTGTACTTCCACAGCATGGTCTTTACTTTTTACATCCACAGCCAACTGTTTTTCAGCGTCTAGACAAGTGCCCAAGCTGAAAACCGTTACATTTGCTATTTTGGTCTCCAAAATACAGCTGTTGTGTGAACAAACGCCCAAAATGGGGCCCATTTTCAGTTTTCAGTTAAGAACGATGCCCCTAAAACAGCCCCTTTTCACAGCACTCGCATCATAGCAGTGTAGATTTTGCAGCTTTATTAAGGGACCCATCTGCAAACAGTTGGTGAATGGGAGCCTTGAGCAGTTGGTAGAGTGAGTGCCTGTTGTTAAGTAAAGGGATTAATGGAACTAAATAGTGCTGAGGATGTAGAAATGTGCTCTTCCTCCAGCAATAAAGTTGGATAATCAAAGCAAAACTCACGGCGGATTTGCTGAATATTTCAAAGGACTTTTAAATTAATCAGATTTTATTGATTTAAAGCAACTTTTTTGCAGGATAAAAGTGGAAAGTTTGATTTTTTTTTCTATTCATTTGCTTAAGAGTTTGTTTGTTTTGAGAATCCTCTAGAAAAAAAATCAGCCAATAAAGCAAGAGTCAGCTCTGGTTCTCAAAGCAAAGGTTTTGCATGACTAAACTAAAGAGCACCAGGGTGCTTGGCATATCATAGATATGCTCCAGCGCCCATGTGCCAGACACAGCAATTCAAACATCCAGTGCAGCACCAAGCGTGCGCCTGACATTTGAATCCTGCCAACATCCGATAAGATCAGCACAATCACAGCTGATCACTCCCAAGGGGCTTGCTCCGTGCTCGTCTCAAGGCCACAGAGCCCTTTTCCTCATTCCTAATATGGACTAGACTTTTAATAATTGAGTCCAGCGGTTGTTCATGCCGTGTTCTGTTATTGTTGCATGTGATTTTCAAACCTTCAGACAGACCACTGTCAAAGAATGACTCCAGCGTGATCTTGATTATGAAAGGTACTGTTGTGAAATCATCACACAAATACAATTATTGACAGTTACTTGGAACAAAGTGGATGGGAATAACCGTGGGGGCGGTTGCTCATTACCTGTTAACTTTGCAGGGTAAGTAACCAAACAAACTTAGCGGTAGTGAAAGATCAGTTCACGTTCCTTTTCGGCATTGCGGCAATGCATGTTTCAAACCCTTGGGGATGATTGTTCTTTGTCAAAGCATGTACTGTTATTGGTTTTAAAGGGCGGCTAAGGTAGACGCGTTAAAGTGCCAGAAGACAAGGAAGCCAGAAACCAAAGTTGTCTTCTTCAGTGCAATTTTTTCAGCTCTCGTCTAAAGTGCTCTTAAATTGAGACCGTTACGCTGTGAACAGCCAAGAGACCAAATGCAACGAAAGCCCAGGAAGTGCAACCGATGTTGGAGTACCTTAGCAGAGTTCGTGAAAAATTCATATATATTTGGGGTGACTTCGCTTAGAATTAGAAATTACTTGCTTTTTTCTTTTGTTTTTGTTTAATCGTTATTAATTATTAATTAGTTACTTTTGCATCCTTGTAGTGTTGTGTTAAGATTAAACATGGAGGCAATATGTCTCCAATGAAATATTGTTTGTGGCATCTCTTTTGGATGTACATATTTGTCGGTTCTACCCGTTACTTTTGTACTGGATTTGATTTAGGTGCTGAAGGGCATTTAACTCGGTTTGCACTCATGTCTTGACTCAACCCTCGAAGGTGGACTTTTTGTATGGTCGTTGATTTTGGTGTTCGGCATTTCTATAGAGCAAATATGTGAGCAAACACACAATGTAAGGCTTTCAAGAAAGACACTTTTCAGGTCCCTTGACCTTTGTTCATGTTTGCTCTCCAATCTACACCGAATGAATAGCGTGTAGGGCACAAAATGTTAAAATGTAAAAAGCTCCGTTATTCACCGAGGTCAACGGGATCGGAATCAAACCTTGCAATAAGTGTCAACATTGTCATGTTTACATGTAATGCAGCGCTACACGTAGAAAACATGGTGCCGAGTCTGACATTAACTTACAGAATCGATGTCAAAATAAACCTCAGCAGTGGAATAAATAATTTAAGAAACGCAAATAGGGTGAACCTCAGTGTTGTACAGTAAATTAAGAGTCAGTGTCTACTTATTAGTTTGTATCATTTAGATCAGGGATAGGCAACTCTGGTCCTTGAGGGCCACAATTCTGCATGTTTGAGATGTTCCTCTGACACACCTGCAGAAGCCTGATAGTGATCCTGATCATTTGTTCCGGGTGTGTTGGAGGAGGGAAACATCTAAAACATGTAGAATTGTGGTCCTCGAAGACCGCAGTTGCCCATCCCCTGATTTAGGTTCTATTTTAATGGCTTGCAGTGATTGGATGGTGATGAGTCCAGATTTTACTGCGTCACTTTTTGTCCGGAATGGCAGAGAGAGGCTCCAATTCACCCACAGCCCTGATGAGAATGAACGGTAGAGAAAATGGATAGATGGGTTGAATGACATTTTCAAAAGATGCAGTCAACATTGTCATGTTTACATGTAATGCAGCGCTACACGTAGAAAACATGGTGCCGAGTCTGACATTAACTTACAGAATCGATGTCAAAATAAACCTCAGCAGTGGAATAAATAATTTAAGAAACGCAAATAGGGTGAACCTCAGTGTTGTACAGTAAATTAAGAGTCAGTGTCTACTTATTAGTTTGTATCATTTAGATCAGGGATAGGCAACTCTGGTCCTTGAGGGCCACAATTCTGCATGTTTGAGATGTTCCTCTGACACACCTGCAGAAGCCTGATAGTGATCCTGATCATTTGTTCCGGGTGTGTTGGAGGAGGGAAACATCTAAAACATGTAGAATTGTGGTCCTCGAAGACCGCAGTTGCCCATCCCCTGATTTAGGTTCTATTTTAATGGCTTGCAGTGATTGGATGGTGATGAGTCCAGATTTTACTGCGTCACTTTTTGTCCGGAATGGCAGAGAGAGGCTCCAATTCACCCACAGCCCTGATGAGAATGAACGGTAGAGAAAATGGATAGATGGGTTGAATGACATTTTCAAAAGATGCAGTTTTTTTTTTTGTATTTCTTATATTTCAAAATTAATATTTTTCCAACAAAAGGTGTGTTATTATTTTATGGATGCTGTAGTACCTCTTTGCATACGCTTTAGTTGAGCTAGTTCAGCATGTCGTTACCAATAGCGTGATTGTTCTGATGCGACATACTCATGGTGGGAGTGTAAAAACTGTGTGATAGTCATTGTGAAGACTGACAACATCCATATATCCGGATGTGGTCTTTTAAAAAATAAAGCGCCATGAGGATCTAACTTGTTAGTTGAGCAAAATAGGAGCAACAGGGTGCCATTTGTCTACTTTTTTATAGAGGCGATTCAGAGAAACAGTCAGCAAATAGGACTCTTAGTGGGGATGATGAGGCTTTATAAATAATTTATGTGCATGAGGGGGACAATGGCAGAGCAGATTTTTGAGCCTGTTTTGCTATCACTGCCACCATGACACGTATCTTCCAGTCAAGAATATCATTTTTGTGTTCAGTGAAAAAGTGATTTTCTGAAAATATCATGGAACTTAACATTGGGTCCGCGGTGCAAAATCAAATGCAGAGTTTCAATACAAATGGCGGTAATGCAACCAACGCGCTCTCTGTAACTAAACGTGAATTGAATGTTATGCTGCTGCCATTGTGTGCAGCCAGGGGATGAAGCATTTATCGTCTGCTTGCCAAAATTCAGCCTAAATGGCTACTAATGGAAATAGAATGGAACTGGAGAGGTGATAGTGTTTGAAAACAGGTCACCATTTAATAGCATTCTGAAAGGGGTTCACTCCCTCCACTGAAGTGCTGTGTGGCAATAGTGCCATCTTTTGGCAAGTTGTGATGAAGAGCACATGATCTCCTCCCAATGTGTCTTTCTGTCTTGCAGCCGTCAACATCACACGAGCCAGATTCAGTGGTACTGATGAGTTTGGCTACACGTCTTTTGCGGCCTACTCCAACATTCCGAATCTCGGCTTTTTCTACGAGTTCCAGCTGAAGTTCACGCTGGCCAATCACTCGTCTGCTTTGAAAGACAACCTGATCCTGTTCGCTGGGCAGAAAGGACAAGGTCAGCAACCTGCAATCTTTCGGGGGATTATGTTTTACGTCTGACCTGAAATGCTAATTCCACTGCAATATTTAAATGAAAACATCCAAACCATTTCGGTCTACATATCAGCGAAGACTAAAGCAGTTGCTATTCCTGCCCCCCACCTCCCCACCTCCAATCCATCTTATCCAGCGGCAACGATATGAATAGCACATTCCTCATTCCTAAGAGAACGATTTTGGGGGCAAATCCTACACAATTTAAAAGTCAGACAAAAGAAAGAACTCCAAAACCAGCACTGACTCTATCATTAGTCCCTGTGTGGATTTTTTTTTTTTTTTTTTGGTTGTGCCATGTCATTGGATTGATTGAACCTTTTTTTTTCTTCCGCGAAGCGTTTAGTAACATGACCACAGACACTTTTGACACGCTTGTCAAATTGGCACTCCACTGCAATCGATGGACAGGAAATAAACGCTTACCAGTGGGCCATTGTACAACGCTGCTCCATTGTCAGCTGGAAAGCTACAGTATGAGCAAGGGAAGGATATGCTTACAAAACCGCAAAGCTGTCAAATGCAAATGGCTTCAAGTCTCTCTGAATAATATCCGTCATGAAAAGATATGGTGACTTTTGGGGCACCTGGAATACATTTTCAAATGCGGTGTTGAATTAGTAGAGTCAGACGTGCTAACGTGGCCATTGCAACAATAGTTTCTAAAAACAATACAAAAATAAGTTCCAGTAGATCTGCTGTGGTCTTCTGCAGAGAGTTCTATTCATAAAAAAAAAAAAAGGGGGGTAGTGGGGGGGGGGGGGACACGAGCAATATGAATAATGAAATACCTGCCAGGAGAGAGAGCGGCATAGTGAGAAATGTTGCAAACTCAAAGGTGAAATAAGAGAAAAGATGAGATCTGAACAACTAAAACAATAATTGCTTTAATGATGTGTCAGCTTTGATCACTTACTTAAAACAACGAAGCACAATTATTTTATGAATGCATGGAGTCAAGTTACACAAAACCCGCAGCAGTTGCAGTGATGAACAATGTCGTTTACAGTGTGCCTTCAAGCAACCGCATGTATAATTGAGTTTAAATCTTGGGTAATTGATTGTTATTGTTTTTTTTTTTGTGGGCTCCAGTTCAGTGAGAGTTCATGCTATTTATAATATATTTATGACCTCACTGTACTATATCTGCCGCACTGTTCATTGCTCATTAATGCCTTCTGCTTCCAGGCACTGATGGTGACGACTTCTTTGTTTTGGGTGTGCGGAAAGGGAGAGTCCTGCATAAATTCAATCTCGGCTCAGGTATAGCAACCATCATCTCGGATCGACTGAACCTCCGCATGGACATCCACACTGTCACATTTGGAAGGACCAACCAAACAGGATGGCTGAAGGTGACTGGATCATTGCAGAATGTTGATTTGACTCTAAACTGCAGATTGCAAATCATTAAAAATGGCAGCTGCTGTGCATACAAAAAAAAAGCAAACTAATCGTAAACTTTTTCAAAAAGCATCTGACTGCATTTCCTCCCTCTCTTTATATTTGTCTGCTGGAGTGTCAGAAATGTAAATGATGCTACAATCTCACGTGTCAGGCTTGTGCTTCATTTTTTTTTTTTTCGAATACATCCACAAGAACAATGTAAAAAGTCAATGAGGATCCCTGTGGGAAGAAAATCTTTTTATCTTTTATTACGAGGCACAAACATTTGTGAACCAAAATTAAGCTAATTAATTGGAGTTCGTGCATTTCAACGCTTGAGATTTTTTGATTATTCGCAGTGCTTGCTCGAGTATAAACAGTGTCTTTCTTAGGTTGATGGACAAAGGAACAGAACGGGTTCATCTCCAGGACCTCTGCGGGTCCTCGATGCTGTCAAGCCACTCTTTGTAGGCGGATATAATGAGTACAGCTCTGACCTGCTGCCACTTGGCTCCAGGTTCCATCGCGGCTTTCAGGGTAAGACGGCCACTTTCAGCAGCGTGCACTAAGAGCACTGAAGCTTGGCCTTCATCCCAGGAACACTCTTGCCTTAGTAAGCAGAGGAGAAACGTATCATGAAAAGACCAGAAAAGAGCACATAGTGTGGTTATATCAATTAATTGCTGCTGTGTACATTTATTTTACTGCTGCCAAGTCCCTCCAAAAAGAAAATTAAAATAATAAAGTATTATGATCATCGATCCATTTTCTTTACATTTTCCTATTCAGGGTTATGTTTGAGTTGCGGCCTATCGCAGCTGATTTTCAAGGCGAGAGGCCTGTGCTGACAAATAATCATTCACATTTACATTCGTGGACAATCTACAGTCTGCAGTGACGCTATCATGCATGTTTTTGGAATGTGGAGCGAAGCCTCCCGTAGGAAGACACGTTAAGTTAACTTGACTTGCTACTGTCCATCGAGATTTATTGGTTGCAGTACAAGATGACGCTTTAGCTTCACCAGAACAACTGCAGAGGTATGACTTGGCGTTCAAAGTATGCCACAGATCTTTGGAAGTTCTTTGAAAGGGCAACAATGCCAAAAAAACAGATGAACAATGATTATATTCCGAATAGGCCAAAGGAAGCAGGCGGTTTTGCACTTTTTCCCCCAAATCAACTGATGCCAAAGATTAAAATACGGTCCAAAAAGTCAGTTACTTGCCTCCTAATATGCCTTGCCATATCATAGTTCATGAGTTTTGCCCAAATTGAGACGTAACTTTTTAATGGTCTGTTCAGTAACACACAAGAAGACAGTGGCAGCTTCTGCTGTGCTCTTGAGTGTCATGTGACTTTCTAATGCGAGCATCTTGGGACAGGATATGGTCTTCCCTCCCTTAGACCGAAACCCATGTCCTGTTTTAGGCGCACTGGTGTCATCTTGATGATGATGATGATGATGACACAAGTCTCTTGAGAGTTGTGACGGTGTTCAATCTGGCAACTGGCGAGATTCGTTACAAATGCAAGACATGCCACCTATGGTGCTCTAATTAAATCTTCAACGAGGGGACGCTTTGTGTACATCTCCGAAGTGGAAATGTCTTACTCATCTTTTTCTGGTTTATATACATAACATATTGACATTGGAATTGGTATAACGTTATCACAAAACATTATTATTAACGAGAATTACTCCCAACACGGGTTGGAGTAAATACAGCAATGTGTTTATTTACCATGCCTGCAATTACACAACCATTGACCTTGACGATAACATTGAGGAATGCAATGATAAACACATTCAGTATGCAGGCCTCTTATTTTGCAGCAGAATCATTTGAACTCAACAGCAACTTTTTTATGTCCAAGGCCTCAAATGCCTTTGTGTCTTATTTATGAGTCTGGCATTCATTTCAATTCAGCCTTTCAAATGAAAGCTTCAAAAAAAAAAAAATCTAATCAGCTGCGGTGAACACAGTTCACATATTCCACCTGACCCAGCGACGTCCTCGTGTTGGTAAACTCCACACCGGTGGCGCCGTCGCCCCAGTGCTGAGGATGTAATGAGAACTCATGGGCGTCTAATCAGATCTGCGTGACCTTCCTGGGGCCCTAATCATGATGGCTGGCAGTGAACACACTGATAATTCACTTCACTCCCAGTTATCAACAGATCCACCCCCCACCACCACCACACGCCCCCTGTCGAAAGGTGGCTGAGGAGACACGGTGACTCCTGAAATGAATCAGTCTGTCAATTTGAGCCGCTGATCAAATAACAAGTAACTGGGAATAGTGTTTGTCAAGGCTCGACACCATTACATGCAAACATTCCGATTGAGGGCTTTTATTCGACGCGATGTGAAGCAGAGACATTTAGAACAGTAGCGCCTGGGTACAGCTACAGTATATTAAAAAGACACGTCGAAGAAGGCCTACGTTTATAATGCCGCAACCATCACTGAAGTCAGCGTCGATGGCATCAGCCCATGAATATTCATGAGTGAACATGACATTTCTAGTGCATCCTGTTTGCGCCAGTGGCCAACGCAAGGGAGAGGGTTGGGCAATGCAATGAAGTGTTATTTTTATGCTCTGCACTTACAGGCCAAAGTAAATATGGCCCGGATAGGATGGATTTATGGAAGCAAGAGTCAAACAAGACCAGGTAGATGGTTGATGACAGCCGGTGGCATACTCGTTTGACTATTGTGTGAATGCTGAGAGATAAGCATTCATAGTGTTATTTTGCGAGGGTAAATGTTTTGACAGTCCGTGACAGCATCACCGTTTCTCAATGGATTCAAAGAAGGTCACAGAGATATAATTATTCTGAGCCATACATTGTATTGCTTCTGAAATATTAGATTTTTAATTTAGAACTGGGCTGTTTTCCTAACCCGCTCTCTGAGTTGCTATGGATCTTGAGCAGCTTACCGGTAGGTTACTTTTACCCATGGTTGGCTTTGTTATTTTGACACAGCGGATGAGGGTTTAAAGACTGAATTTGGGTGGGCGGAGGAGCTGACCTGGTTGCCATTTTTTACTTGTGTACTGAAGTTCGAGTCCATTTATTTTCCCCCGAACTTCATAGTCAGATATTACACTGTTAGAAATGCATCTCGGTCAAGCCACACTTTTAATTAAAAAAAAATAATTGCAAGCACACAAGGTACATGCCAACAGCAAAATATGTGATCTTGATGACAGGGTGGACATTTTGGACTAATTTTACCATTTAATCATCACATGCTTGACCTTCTCGAACCCAGCCGCTGGGGAGCAGTGCCCTCCCCTGGGGGTACACTGTTCCCCGGTGCCGGTCCCAAGCCCGGAGAAATGGGGAGGGTTGCGTCAGGAAGGGCATCCGGCGTAAAACTTTTGCCAAGACGGACATGCGAGTTGATAGGGCGGTTTGCAGGGACGGATGGGAATTAATGACTCGCTGTGGCGACCCCTGAAAAGGGACGTGCCGAAAGAAGAAGAAGATGCTTGACCTTCTCGTAGCAACACGATTGATTTAGCTGACTGTTTAACAAATATATTTCAACTTTCTAAAAGGTTTTTATGTCACTTGATATTTCGCTTTGAACAATGAACATGTTGAGCTTGACAACTATGCACATCATATGATCAATGTAAATACAGTATTGATTCTGTAAGTACTTACTATCCCGGCCTCCACTGAAAGACAAAATGCTCATCGTTATGTGACTGAAAAAAGGGGACGTTTCCCAAGATTGATCAAGTCTAAAATATTGATACTCCAAATGTCGAGATGGACAGAAAAGACATAAGTAGTGATGTCAATGACATCATTGAATTTACAAGGCATCTAATCAGAATGCTCAGGTGTCTTCCCCCGTGTATCTCACACCGGCTGTATTGTAACCGGGGATTACTTTGATCTGTTCTCAAGAGTCTGGATATTCTTTTTTCCCTGACATTTCAACTAACTGATAAATAATCCTCTCGATATGAGACGTGCATCTATAAAAACAGCATCCCTTGTCTGTCTTGTCTTTTTCAAGGGTGCATTTTTGACATGTACTTTCGAACAAGAAGAAATGGAACAGTCCAAGATCTGGGACATCCCGCCTTTGGGCGAAGCGTGGGTCAATGTGGAGTCAATTTGTGTGTTCATGTTCACTGCAGGAATGGAGGAACATGTGTGGACTCTGGTTCATCCGTGTAGTAAGGCCGCACATTTTACTAGACTTACAGAAGGACGGTGGATGGGAAATCATTAGCTACGAGCTTGCATTTTCCTCCCGCAGTTGCCAATGCCCTTTAGGATGGAAGGGAGCGCTCTGTTCGGAGACGATGTCAGTGTGCGATGCCGCGCACGCTCCCCCGCCTCTGTGTGCCCACGGCTCCACCTGCATCCCTCTTCCAAATGGATATACCTGTCACTGCCCCCTGGGAACAGCAGGAGTCTACTGCGAGAAAGGTCACGCCATCACACGCAATCTTCATCATTACACGTGTATTTTTTTTTCTCTCTGTTCATTTTGTCAACAAGGAAGCACTTTCGCTGTTCAATAATTTAACTGCTTTATTGTCCCCATTTCAGCTGTGAGCATCAGTGATCCATTCTTCAGTGGAAAGCGCTCCTCCTGGATGGCCTTCCCCCCAGTGAATACAAGACATCGGACTGTTTTACAAATGCAGTTCCAACCTTTATCACCTGGTGGCATCCTTTTCTACATTGCACAACATCTTGGGGACAGACCTGGTAACTACTTTATAAAGCGAAACAACCCATCAAGAGTATTGCAAAAACGAAAGGACATGTTCTTAATTTTTTTTAATGCATATTTGCTGCCGACAATAATTCATGCAAATCTGATTGAAAGAAAGAGGGCACTCACCTAAACTTCACCTCAACATAGCTCTTACTAATCTTATAAAACGGGTGGCCAACCATTCAGAGACTAAAAGCCAATTTTTTTACTGTGTTACTGCAAAGAGCCACACACACACACGCGCGCACACACACACACACACACACACGCACATATGCACAGACACGCACAGACACACGACCATGCACTCGCGCACATATGAATGTATACACACCACGACGATCGAGCAACAGCCGGAGCGCCCGAACATAAATAAAACCGTAAAACACAAACACATAAATCCGCCCCCCCCCCTCCCATTTCCTCCTCCCAACGCTCTGCTGGCTCTTGGTTGATTGCGATCGACGTATATGGCACCCCTGCCCTAAAAACAGGTAATTCGCTGACTAGCTTAGCACTTAGCGCCGTTGTCTGCGCATGAGCGGTAATTCAGTCATCTGATTGGTTGCCCTCAATGTCAATCAAGTAACGGGATTGATGATAGGCTCACGTAGTATGTTCTGTGTATTAAGCACCGTTGTTTGAAAGGCAGCGCCATCCCCGAGGCGTTTTCGACAATTGTGTGAAAGCCCGGGAGCCGTATGCAGCTCGCGAGCCGCGGGTTGGCCACCACTGTTATAAAAGTACATTATATTAACTCATCCAGTACCAGCCATTTTCAGACCCTTTTTTACCCCAAGTCTTGAAAAAATATATTTAACAAAACTAAAAATAATTACCAGGGATTGAATGTGTCTAAAGTAACCTTTTACAAAATGTCTTCCGAGCAACTCATTTTTATTTCTTTCCTGCAGGAGACTTCCTCTGCCTTTCTTTGATGTCTGGCTTTGTCCAGCTGCGGTACAATCTGGGGGATGGTCCCCACGCCCTGCAGACTGTGACGAGAGTTGACCTGCATGCGAGCAGCTGGCACACTGTGAAGGCGGGCCGGATCGGTCAGCAGGGCTTCCTAATTCTGGATGGCAAGGAAGTTAGACGCAACGTGACCCAGGGGATGAGCACACTCGATGTTGCCACCAACATCTTTGTCGGGGGCGTCTCCTCTCTGAGCTCTGTGGCCACGGACGCGATCGAAGGGGAGCCAACGGGCTTCACTGGCAGCATCAGAGAAATGATTCTAAACGGACTTGAGTTGGAGTTGACGGAAAAAGGGGCTCTTAGTGGCGCAAATGTCGAGGACCGGGATGGAAGTGACTGTGGGTACAAGGTGTGCCACAATGGAGGTCAATGCAAGGCAACGGGGAAGGACTCTATCACGTGTGACTGCCCACCGTCATGGACCGGCCCAACTTGTAATCAGTCTTTAAGCTGTGTCAACAACATCTGTAAACATGGCTCCATATGCTCTCCCGCTAGTCAGACAACGTACACCTGCATGTGCCCCCTCGGATGGGGAGGAAAGTACTGCACCAGAGAGGTGCCGACAGACACTTTAAAGTTTGTCGGACGCTCTTACGTTAAATACGTTGATCTGAAATACAGCAGGAGAAATTTAAGATCAACCCACGTTTCTTTTATCTTCCTCACAAACACTAGCGACAGTCTAATCATGTGGATGGGCAAAGGGGGCCATGAAGATGAGGACTTCCTGGCAGTGGGACTAGAGAAGGGAGGCCTTAAAGTTGCACTTAATCTTGGGGAGAGGATTTCCCTCCCGTCGACTTCAAAAAGTCAGACACTTTGCTGCAACAAATGGCACCATGTTTCCATTTTAATAAACAGCACGGTCATTCAAGTCCATTTGAACAATAAGAGAATCATCCTGGAGGATGTGGACCCACTTGGGAAATACGTAGCCTTAAACTACGGGGGGCAGCTCTACTTTGGGGGATTTGAAATGTTCACAAATGTATCCGTCGTGACATCTGGACTGTTTTCAGGGGGCTTTGAAGGAAATCTCCGAAATGTTTATTTGTTTGACGAAGCCCTTCTGTTTTCAAAAAGCGACGAGGGCTTTAATGTTCATAACGGAAATTAGTAGAAGGGGAAGTGGCTTTTGTGAGAAAGCGAAACACTCAGATTTTTGAATACAATACATGCTGATTTATATAGCGCTTTCACAACAGCTGCAGATGATTTTAACTCTCTAGGAATATAGGCTTCAAAATCTCAGAACATTGAAGGAATGTGTGTGTGTGTGTGTGTGTGTGTGTGTTGTGCTTTCTTGAGATGTCACCTCACCAAAAAGACTATGATGGCAAAGGGTAATGATACTCATCTTGGCCGCTCATTCCGCTTGGAGCAAAACAGTTCACAAATTATCAGGCAAATTAAGGCAAGTACTGGTAAAAACAAATTCATTTTTCCAATCAGGTGCTGAAATAAAATGTACACAGTGGTAAACATGACCCTGTCCCAGCTTTTTTGGAATTCAGCCGTAAAATTCTAAGCTAACGATTATTTGCTAAAAAACAAGAAGGTTTCATCAGTTTGAACATTAAATATCTTGTCCTCCAGACTTCATTGGAATTATCTTTTATATGCAAGGATTAAAAAAAAAAAAAAAAGTTGTTTCATTTTATACAAGGATCTTTGTGAAGACAAATCAAAATGGTAAAACTGTCGGTAGTCAGTTTCATGTACATTTAATTAGAGTACAGCAGTGTAGTTTAGGTGACGGTATCTTTAATATACTGTATTTACTGTACACAGAAATGTTTATTTTTTATCACAATAAAAAAAAAATTAGCTTTATTACCAACTGTACATACACACGTGCAAAGGCACACTTCATTCTAAGGTATATTACAAGCCAAAAATGTACAATGCTTTTCCAGTAGAAAGTAAGACTATAAAATATTTCAGGCAATTTAAAAGGAACCAACTTGGGGAACACAAGCTGCTGCTCAATGGGTGCCTCCATCAAGTTTGTTTTTGCAGCTAATAGAACTTTAGCTCCAAAACAATTTGACCAATCAATCAATCGGCTCAATATTACCGGATGTTGAAAATAAAATTCAGCGGGTCAATGGAAACAAGAAATTAAAAAAAAAAAAAAAAAAAAAAACAACAACCAACCAAGAAAATACATTTACATTTAAAATTGAAAGTGGCCCCTTTTCTAAATTGGTGGGAAAAGAATGTATCTACACCCACTCATCAATTTCGTAGTCACACCTCAATAGGAAAGGCTCACATTGGAACGGAAATGGATTTGCTTCTTTTCCATTGAGGATTAACTGGGTGCAGCAAAACCATCTAAAAAAACTATGAGGTTTTGTTGCTGCAGTTGATGGTTGTACAAGGTGTAACAAACTGACAAGCAAGTGTGATGAACTTTGTAACTCCACTAAAATAGCTCAGCTTGTCATAACAGAAGTCGTGGGAGGGACGTTACATACAAGCTGCACGCTGACGACGTCTAAAAAAAACAATCGAAACAGCTCAAAAAAAGCTGTAGTGGTTTGAATCAGAGAATGGGTTTCTTAGAGCACCAAAACACATACTACTGGTGCTTGTTTTCTTTGAAAAAAAAAAAAAACCACAAACGAACAAAAAAAAAAAGTTAAAAAACCTAATTATTACGAGTAACTGTCTTTTGAGCTCCTTCGCACATTGTCATAGTCATAGTCATAGTCCGAGTCCCGCCGGTGTCTGTGGCGTTCTTTATGGCGGCTAGTGTAGTCGTCACTGTAGTATCGCTCTTTCCGCCGCTCGCCATAGTGGTCCTCAGAGTGTCTGTGGTGCCGACTCTTGTCTCTGCGCTTGCCGTCGGAGCCGTGCTCGTGTTTCTTGCTCCGCCCCCTGTCATGATGCCTGCTCTTCTTCCCGTGGTGAGAGTCTCTGCGGTGGCCGTGCCTCTCGTGGTGGTGGTCCCGGTCCTCGCTGTGCGACTGCCTCTCCTCCCACGGGTGACAGTAAGTGTAGAGCTCCTCCTGTGCTTCCTCTTTGGCCTGCGATGGAGGTTGACCAGTTGGTTGGGCGAGAGTCTCGGGGTTTGCCTCAAAGGAAGCATACTCCTGGGCTTCTGGTGTGCTGTGATTCGGATCCTGGATGTGCAGGTTGTGAAAAGAGTTTGGAAAAGGTGGGTCGTGGTCACTGCCAGGTACCTGAGGTTGGTGCTGCTGCTGGTGGTGGGCAGGTGCAGCACTGTTACATGTTGGCAGAGCTGGCGCCCTCCCCGTGTCTTGTGGTACTACAGAAGGGTTTCCTGCTTGAGTTACTGTGCCGCTCGAATGGCCTCCAGCAGGATCGCTGCAGTCACCGGGCACTGATTGACTATCAGATGGGTTTTGTTCTTTCAGTTTGTGTTTGGCCTGAGAGATCTGTAAAAAGCCTTGATGAAATGTTGTAACTGAGCTGATTTTACTGCTACCCAACACAGGAGCGTGCTTATCATCAACGGGGGTAATGGGGCTCGTTTCGCCGGCTTTGTTTTCAGTCACACTTGAATAGTTGGAAATCTTTTTCAATATTCCACTTAGAGGTTTGGAGCCATTTGTGTTCTCTGATGCTGGCTGTGATTCCAACTTTGCTTTGTCTGAATCAGGGAGAGCGATGTCCTCTTTCTTGGGGGTATCGCTGCTGCTCACTTCACCATCTTTGTGAATCGTCGCCAGGCTGTCCAAGAAAGCTTCCGTGGAAACATCTGGAGGCTTATCTCTCAGAGAGACTTGGGGACCTCGGGGTGCGGGCTCAGCATCTTTTCCCAGTGATGCGTTCGCAGCCTCTGTCTGGCCGGATGACTGCGGTTCAGCTTGGACGACTTTCACTTCTTTTTTCTTGATGACAAAGCGGTCTCGAGGCGCAGCAGCAGTGGCAGCAGCAGCTGGACCCTTGGAGCCCCCGCTGGGTGGCACCTCTGTTTTCAGAGCAGGTTGGGCCTTGTGGGTGTCAGCAAAAGGCTGTCCTCCGAAATCTGGCAGAGGCGGGAGTTCTCCACCCCAGCCGAGTAACACACCTGGAAGAAAACGCAGAGGCTTGTGGGATTCCTGGCTGCTGTTCGCTGCTGCAGATGGTTCTTCAAAAGACTCTGTGATGGGCTCCTCTGCAGCCTCTGTAGTTTCAAGGAGTTTATCCTTCTCGCTTTTATTGGGAGTAGTCAAGGAGGCCAGGAAGAGCTTCTCATCATCTTCTTCCGCAGGAGTTTCCTTGACAGAAGCTGGGACGGGCTTGACATCAGGAGACATCCTTGTCCTTTCATTGACGTCAACTGGAATATAATCTCTTTTGGGCCTCTGACGAATTATAAGTCCCAAGAGAAGGTTTGCTCGGTTGTTTTCCAGACCTGGCAAATCACATGATAATTACATTTGTGTCAAGACAATGAGACTTTCTTCTTGACAGGGGTGAATTTGCTCGTGTTGATCACCTGGTCCATCAAAAGGCACAAGTTGATGTGGCACTTTTTCAGAAGCACCCAAAGGAATGAGATACATGTCCTTCACTTGTTTGCGGTTGTTTGACACCACCCCAAAACGCCTTCTGCTGCTGAAATAAGCATACAGGAGAGTGTAGGAGATCTCATCTTCCTCAGTTACAGGGGAGAAGCGAATCAGGCACACTTCCTTTAAATGACAAAGAAACAAGCAAACAACATGGGTCAGCAATCAATGTACGGTTAGATGTAATGTAATGTCTCAACCTTCCAGTTAAGAAGTCAAAATATTTATTACTTTAGTTCCTGTAGCACGTATCTTTTCCAAGTAGTCCCACACCGTCTGTGGACTTATCCTTCCGCCAACCATAATGCTGTCAGGAAGATCCTATGGAAAAAACAAAGGATTCACTTTCTATACTTTCAAGTGAGTCACCTTCGATTGCCTCAGGATGCGAGTGCTCATACTTGCAGAGAATATCACTTTTTAAAACAGCACAATTCCCTCATTGAATGATAAATCATTGAAGAAAATACGACCTAAAAACTGCACAGTTCAATTGAAAAACTGACAAATGTTAGGTTCCAAGGGTGCATTTTGCTTTCATAGCAACACCATGTTATTTTGGGGAGAAATATGTGGCACATGTATGTGTCCACCTTTTCCAAACAAAGTGCTCCTAAAGTGCACGGTCATGTACTGACCCTTTAGGTCACCACTACAGATTTTCAGATGGATTTAGGTCTGGACTTGGTTTGTGCCATTCCAAACGTTAAACTTTCTTTTACTGCTTTGGATATATTGCATTTTATAAACTATATTACCAGAATGTTACAGAATTTCTAAAAGTTCCAAAAGGTAAATGAATAAACATCTGACCAAAAATCACACGTAATTGTATACTGCTGGCCTGACTTGTGAACCATTGAGTGCTGAAAAGAAACTTCTACAGGTAGGGAGGACTGAAGCCCAATCGAATGTAAGATGGAGTGATTTCAATGCGGGGCAAAGACGTCAAAATCTTGATGAGAATGTTAACGAGACAGATTTAAGTTTCAAAGTGGGCTTGAAACACTTAAGTCTTAGTCAAAGTATGTCTGGAGGGGGTCGTTAAAAAGAGTGGCGTACCTGAGTCAAGCTGTCCAGAATGCCTGACACAGGGAAAACTTTTGTGACAAGTTTAGCCACAGAGTGCATCGTCAGGAAGCCTCGCCACAAGGACTTCAGGCTGGAGAGGAATGATGCGTCATCGTCTCGGCCAGCTGGATTGTCTGACCTGAGATGGAGAGAGGAGCACTTCAGCCGCTATCTTGGCACTAAGCCGCATAAGACGCGTATCACAAATGAGTGCTCGCCTTCGCTCGTAGCTGGTGTGAGCCTTCTGAAAGCTCTCCTCCAAGACTGTGAGGTGGAGGTCATCCTCAACAGCAGATGGCGTTGGTGTGCTCGTCTCCTCGCTTTTGGCAGACTGTCGCTTTGCCACGGTTGTCGCAACTTTGACCACTTTGGTGGGCGCCTCTTTCACCGGGGGTGCCATGCGGCCTGAATCGGTCAGACAAGAAAGTCGGTCATTGACGTCTTTGATGTATGAGGTCACAACTTGGGCTCATGTTGTAAGTCACCTGTACAGATTTTGCAGTTGAGGTCAAATAAGTGAGACTTGTGTTTGCTGGTGGTGTCCTTCTGAGTCTCAGTGCTCTCTGCAGGTTTCTCTGGAGGAATCGGAGCTTCTACTGGCACTTCTGGGGCTTTGACTGGCGGTTCAACCTGTGAAGAAGTTAGGCGGAGTCCACAACTGAGTGGCACATTGACTTGTGAGTAAAACAAATCAGGTCATGGTCCATTTCTTACCTCAACCTCCACGGGTTCAGATACTTTCCTTGGTTCTTCACTCTCGATCTCGATCTCCCCTTTATGTGTGATCTTGGTGATGGGACGCCTCTCAACCTCTCTTTGCTCTTTTTCGATCATTTCAATTGTCTGTGAAGAAAAACAAAGTCATCCAGAGGTAGATTTGTTCACTAAAGAGGAGATGAATGTAAATCAGCCTTACTGGGCGTCTTAATGGCCATCAAGTTTAGTTGAGGATGCATGAGATTCGAGGATTACTCACGTGTCGGTTTTCTCTTTGCCGCCAAGCAGCCAGTTCCTTGGAAGCCAATTCCTCGGGACTCATTCGGATTAGATTAGCAGGAGATATTTCTCCCTTTAGAACCTTCCTAAAGAGAACCTGAGTGGTAGGACAAAAGGAGATTACTTGTAAATTATACTGGAACAATCATGGCTTCACAGATCATGTCTGGTCTCATTTGGAGACATCAACTACACTTACGTTATTTTTAGTATCTTTGAGGTTAAACATCAAGCTTCGATACTTGTTCTTGTATTTGTTTTCCGTATCTTTATACATATGGAAAATTTCTCTCTCGATCTTCTTGGCAACTTCAGAAGCTTTCTCCACTGGGACATTCAAATCAGACTCCTTCAACCTAAAATGCAGAGCGTCACACATTCAGCATCTTGAACAAAATTGTTTTTGAAAGCTCTTCGATGAAGAGGCTGTGTAATGTAAATTTACGGAGATCTCCTACCTCTGGATGAGGATGTCTTTCAGAGAATCACGCACACTACGCCTGATCTCCTCAACAGATGCAGGCTTTTTTGAAGAGGAAGATGCGCTTTTACTTTTTGCCTCAGGTTTCAGCTGAATGCCTGTGAGGACAGAAAAAGTACCGAGGAAGTTTAAATGAAAACAAAACAACAAAAAAAAGGAACTGCAATTCAAACACAGGTGTTTTTACTCAGTGTTGAATTCTATAAAAATCTAAGTTCCAACACTGCCAAATATATTTCCTGTTGGTGTACAATTTGGAAACGCAACTGCTAGCTGTGAAAAATGTAAAAATAACATCCACAAAATGAAAGCATTCATGAATGCGCTTTCAGTATTTAAGAGTTAAATAGCAAAATATGATAAATATATTAACAGCGTTACCATGTTTAAGCACTGTATCAAATACCTGTTTTATGATGAGTTTCTTTGACATCTGCGGATGATCTTCGACCTTGCTCCTATTTTAGAAGATAGGAATGACAAATTACTGAAGGAACACCAGCATTTGCAGTGTGGGGG